TGGGTGGTATGGTGGTGATAATATTGGTTCTTCATTGCTTTGCCAGGTGGACATTCTCTAGCCTAGGTAGGTTGTGACTCTAAGAAAGGATTCAAACTGAGCAAATCAAACTCTAGAAAAAGGATCAGCCTTAGATTAGATATCATTAGTAATCAATATACAACATGAGAAATTACTGTATTATAGCTCATATTAATATTTCATTTTCCTTGTTTCCTGTATTAGGGTATTTGTGTTCCCATTTAGCTATTGGAAAAGAGCTGAGGTTTTGTAAAAACAAAACAACAAAACCAAAAGGGTATTTCTTGTCACTGAACAGGCCCTCAGGTTAAAAACACACACACCCTGTGAGACCTTATCCAACTAGTGGTGGCATATTCCAGTGACAATTACAATCCTTTTAAATGACTTGACCTCTTAATTACCAACCAAACTGTTAAATTCAGTACGTGATCACAAAAACATCATACATAAATGCACAACGTACTTATAACTAGATAAAATAGAATCCCTCATGGCCACAGAGACCAAAAAGAGTTCAGAGTTTATTTTAAAAATTCTTTTTGTATTTCTAAGATTAAAAAAATACATGTGCTTACTAACTTATATATACTTTTGTCCAAATAAAATTTCTAACAAATACAATAGAAAACAAGTTTATTTTATGCCTACTGTATTCTGGTACTTTTTATGAATGTTGGTTGCTTTTAAGAGTCATTTTTATAATCTAAAATTTAAAACATGTGCTTCTTGCTTTTGGATCTCTAGTGAGCAATATTTAATCTTTATTCATCTGTGACTTAATATTTTTCCTATGGATAATGGAAATAAAAAAAAGCAATTATGTTAGCATGAAATAATTGATACACATTAGTAAGAAACTATTTTTAAAAAGTAAATGAAAACACAGGCCAAATGGGCAGAGACTACGTTTAAGAATACTGTGTCAATCTAAAATTAAAAGCCATTTAAATGATTTATCTAAAAGCAGAAATCAAACCTATAAAGAAAAATGAAACTATACATTCGGAAAAGAGTAAAGAACATGATCCTCATTAGTTCCATGACAGTAGCTTCATGTAAAGTGGGTGATGGTACAGCCCCTGGCATCAGGAATATTGGTTTGTTGGAAAAGTCATGACATATTTTTTTCTGTTTTTCGTTGCAAAAATGCATCATGACTTTTCCAACAACCCAATAGATGGAGAGTCACCCCTTACTAGGTGGGTGACTTTGAACATCTGTGAAATGTTAACAGTGATATATCAGTGCCTACTCCCTCGGGGCTGTAATTAGGATAAAATGAGATAATGAATGTGCCATTTTTAGTCCATTGTCTGCCACATGGTAAATAATTGACAAATATTTTGATGATAATGATGCTGCAGATGGGAAAAAGTATGAGAACTGAAAGTAAAGTGCTTTGATAAGGTACAGTAGAAAGAACCACATGAAAGTCTCTCTCCAGGGCTTAAGATGATTTTATAGGAGGTATAGTGAGTGGAAAGAACTCTACCCTATGAGGCAGGCACCCTTCGCCTTGATCTTAGCATTGCAGATTAACCAGGTGGCCCTGGACAGCTGACTTCATCTCTCCCAATGAAGTTCACAGTTGTGTTCAATGAGGAGGAGGCTTGACTTTCCAGCTCCAACTCTTTATCTCTTCATTGTATGCAAGGTGGGCTCCCATTATGGAAGAGCGATGGAACACTTGAATAATTGAGAATTCAAGTTGCCCATATGTAGTTATTTTATTTTATTCAAATAAAGAGCTCACTTATATTCAGCTTTCAATGACAAAAATTAACAATGCCAGTCCCAAGGAAACCCCACAAGGAAGCAACCACTTTCTCATTCCCCCTGAGGACATGTCTTGAGAATTAAACATAGACAAAACCTGAATTTTAGTTAGTCTTTAATATAACTCCAACTCTTTAATAGTAAACAAAGATGTAAGTATCAAACATCCAAACATTTTACTATCAGTAGTTCTGAGCAGTCACAGTGGTCGCACTGTTGGAGCCGATGTCACTCACATTTTAAGGGAACACGGTCTACTCCGTTTCAGTGGCATTCATGCTCTGGCATTTGGGAGGAAGAGGTGAGGCTTGTTCTGTGCAGAGTATCCCCTTTACCATAGGCAGCTGACTTCTCTCTCCTTTCCTCAGCGTTCAAAAAAACTCTTTATTTTCCTTTTGTGCGAAAAGTGCTCTAACAACTAAAGGGGCCTTTCCTTACTGAGATAAAATCAACTATACGAGTCATACATTTCTGGGTCAACTTTTCTGGTTCAATTCCCTCAGAATTAGCAATTCATAGAACAGTAATTGTTAAGAAGTTAGCACACATGCGTAACCAAAACTACGATTTAGAATTCACAGTACAGGGCTCTGTGGAACACAGTGCCTATGAGCAGCTTCCTCTTATATGCTGAGGCCACGGTACTTCCCTGGAGAACAGAGCCATTGTTGATATAAACTGTAGTCACTGTAGGCTTCTCTGATAGAATATTCTGGATGCGGAGTACCTATTCAGGAGAGACAAAGGATTAATATAGAACCACCATACACCCATGTCACTCAATCACGAATAATCTCTGTCTTCCACAATGACGCAATGATTAAGAGGACATGCTGTTGAAAAAATAGCAGCTACCAATCTTTTTAATGTTTAAATTAAAGTACTTTCTTAAACCTTCAAAGAAAGTACTTTCTTAAACCATCTAGTTATTTCATGCCAACACAGGATTTAGTGTTATTATAGTAATTGAGCATTAATAGAAATACTTCCATACTAATGGGCCTGCTTTCACACGAACAAAAGTCACGTCATGTGGTGAGCTGACAATAAGCCAGGTATTTTAAAAATTGCCACTCTACCACATAGGGAGGGCGCATGTCTCGATAAAAATGCCTGTTGATTAGTTGCCACTATAATTTAATACATCAAAAGATTACCCTTCTAAAAGTATTTGAACAATGTGAAATTTTGCCAATTATTGGCTTAAAGCAATTGTAAAATCGCTACATTAGTTCACTGTATTATTGGGTTAAAAGAACTAAACAAAATCATCCTTGTAACAGTTTATTGTGTTATTAGTTCAAAAAGACTTGAATAATTAAGGTTGAAAAACTAAAAGTATAAAAACCTCTGATGAGGGAGGATTGTCCGGGTCATAAATGAAGATCTTCTGACCATTAGGATGACAGCCTGCCAAGATGTCCCCCGAGGAAGGATCGATAGACAAATTATCCGGCAGTGTATCCAACTTGAGTACCTTCCAAATGAAAAAAATGTCAATACCTAAATGACACGAGAATCTTGATTAAATAATTTAGGGCTAATCTTTCCTCCCTTCCTGCAT